GACTAAGCCCCGGTGAATACCTGACGTGGCCGAGTGCAGTGTGGAGGAGAGAGTAATTGCCACAGATCCTCCACAAAACTGCACGAACATTTCACAAGAAGCATGAGACAACATTCAATATCCTGCATGTCTCTTGTGATTCAGTGCTGACTAAATTACACTGGGGAAAACAGCTGTGCACGCAGAACTCGTACCATATAGAGATCGCTCTCGTGTTAATACCTTGAACACTGAGGGTGAAAGCAAAAGCAAGCAAAGAATTGATGAAGTACAGAATGTAGTTTTATCGGCCATATATATGACAGTAGGGTCATCTCTCTCTCCCACTATCTAACTGCGACCCTTGATTAATGTACATTTGTTGCTTAAAAAAATGACAGAAAATACAATTTTGAAAAATATGCACAAATGGAAATGTTTAAACTTGTGAGCGCACAAAATGACAGAAAACCAAACAAGAAATATAAATTGCCAGCAATGGAAATGGACCGTTTTGCCCATTCATTTCTTTCTAACTTCCGTCTGGACATTTCACTTTTATCAGAAAACAGTTTCACAAAACACTGATTTTTTTTAACCCCATAATCGAGGCAACTGCTCAAAATGCATTCTGGGGAAAACTTTCCTAAAGAACAGCCATGGAAGAAAATGTGGCATTATTTTCATAACAGAAGCAAGACAACTTTTGCTACAAAGCTTTATGTGAAGTAATTTGCATTTTTGCAGAGGGAGAAAATGTTTAAAAAAAGGTTTCACATTTGCAATACTGTGATTCGTGCCTCCATTTTACAAAACAGCATGTTAGCAGGAACTATAAACCAACTCAATTTGTTTTGTTAAATCCACGACAAGGCGCAGACAGAGTCTTCCACAGACCATCGAAGGACTGTTAACAATGCAGTGTACGATGACAAGACAAAAGACGCCCCCAACAACAGTCAGCAGACTAAAACCTGCGTCGCGTCCCTGCAGTGTAAACGCGCTTTAAAGGACCCCCTGACAGGGAGTTTAGTTTGCGATTTTTTTTACAGTAATTTGTAGCTTTGCATCTGGTAATGAGGAAGTGATATCATAAATGCTCTAACACATTGCATAATCATTGTTAGTGGCATTAAATCAGAACGATTATGCATCAGTTCGAAACGCCCACCCAAATACCATAAGAAACTGGCGCCCCACAGCGGAGCAGCGTCTGAGGCTGTTTTCAAAATAGGGGGACCCGTGTGCAGTGAAGAATAAAAGGATGTGGTTGCTTTGGGTGTGTCCTTCTCAGAAAAAAGAAAAGCATTCCTGGCATAAGCAGTCAAAACCACCTTGAGAGCAGCCCAACAACAGAGCGAGAGGGGTGACGAACAATAGTCCTTGCTTCACAGTTGTTGACCCTGCAACGTCACAAGGGGAGTCCTGGTCTACGTCAAACCACAGAAAATGCCGATTGCCCCTGAATACTCGGAGAAGCACACACCTTTACTTTAAAACCAAATTAAAATATCTTATAGGCTATGCTCGCCACTAATAGTCGGTCAGAGGTGCCCCCGCATGCAGGACTATCAAACAGCACAAGCACCTCAAGTTTTCAAATTTGGTGTCAGAGGTCCATTAAGCATGAGTAGTCCCAGATGCAGCCCGAGCTATGCAAGAGTGAGAAATACAGAAGCTGTAAACTTAAGGACACATTTCAGTTGTTTTCAATGTTTCTTTTGAATTTATCCTGATCGTACAATGCTTAAAATTATATAGGAAACCTCAGACGAACACTCCATCTGTATTTGAGAGTTCCGAGTAATGCCACTACATATCTGGTCACTGAAGATAGTGCAGACTGTGACTGAAGTGTACGAGCCACAATTGTAACATGAAGGAAAGTGTAAATTTAAGGGCTCATTTTCTTTGTTAGACACAATATTAACGAGAACAGATACTATGCCAAGAGAAGTATACGCGATGTTATTAGAATTGTAATGTAAATGTGAAGAAAGAAAGGTGGACGAAATGATAACATACCACCGGCAGGATCTAAACCTGTGACCTTCTTTATCTTTTCGTCCACTTTTCTTTCTTCACATTTCCATTACATCATCATCATCATCATCAGCCTGACTACGTCCACTGCAGGACAAAGGCCTCTCCCATGTTCCGCCAGTTAACCCGGTCCTGCGCTTGCTGCTGCCAATTTATACCCACAAACTTCTTAATCTCATCTGCCCACCTAACCTTTTGTCTCCCCCTAACCCACTTGCCTTCTCTGGGAACCCAGTTATTTACCCTTAACGACCAGCGGTTGGTTATCCTGTCTACGCACTACATGCCCGGCCCATGTCCATTTCTTCTTCTTGATTTCAGCTATATCCTTAACCCCCATTTGTTCCCTAATCCACTCTTCTCTCTTCTTGTTCTTTAAAGTTACACCTACCATTTTTCTTTCCATTGCTCGCTGCGCCGTCCTCAATTTAAGCTGAACCGTCTTTGTAAGTCTCCAGGTTTCTGCTCCGTAGCTAAGTACCGGCAAGATACAGCTGTTATATACCTTCCTCTTGAGGGATAGTGGCAATCTACCTGTCATAATTTGAGAGTGCTTACCAAATGTGCTCCACCCATTCTTATTCTAGTTACTTCAATCTCGTGGTTCGGCTCCGCGGTTATTACCTGCCCTAAGTAGACATAGTCTTTTACAACTTGAAGTGCACTATTACCCAACTCGAAGCGCTGCTCTTTTCCGAGGTTGTTGTACATTACTTTCGTTTTCTGCAGATTCATTTTAAGACCCACCTTTCTGCTCTCCTTGTCTAACTCCGTAATCATGAGTTGCACTTCGTCCCCCGAGTTACTCAGCAATGCAATGTCATCGGCGAAGCGCAGGTTACTAAGGTACTCTCCATTAACTGTTATCCCTAACTGTTCCCATTTTAGGCACCTGAAAACCTCGTGTAAGCACGCGGTAAATAGCATTGGGGAGATTGTGTCCCCCTGCCTTACACCCTTCTTGATTGGTATTCTGTTGCTTTCTTTATGAAGCACTAAGGTAGCAGTTGATCCCCTGTAGATTTCTTCCAGGATGTTTACATATACTTCATCGACGCCCTCCTGATTCCGCAGTGTCTGCATGACGGCTGATATTTCTACTGAATCAAACGCCTTCTCGTAATCTATGAAGGCTATGTATAGTGGTTGATTACATTCTGAGCATTTCTCTATTACCTGATTGATAGTATGAATGTGGTCGATTGTTGAGTAGCCTGTTCGAAATCCTGCTTGTTCTTTTGGTTGATTGAATTCTAATGTTTTCTTTACTCTGTTAGCAATTACCTTTGTAAATAGCTTGTATACTACAGAAAGCAAGCTAATCGGCCTGTAACTCTTCAAGTCCTTGTCATCTCCTTTCTTACGTATTAAGATGATGTTAGCGTTCTTCCAAGACTCTGGTACTCTTCCCGTTAGGAGACACCTCGTAAACAGGGTGGCTAGTTTTTCTAACACAATCTGTCGTCCATCTTTCAGCAGATCTGATGTTACCTGATTCTCACCAGCAGCTTTGCCTCTTTGCATGCTCTCCAAAGCTTTTCTGACTTCTTCTATCATTACTGGTGGGGTGTCATCTGGGTTACTGCTAGTTATTATAGTATTAAAATTGTGGTTGTCCGGGCTACTGTACAGATCTCTGTAAAACTCCTCCTCTATTTTAACTATCCTATACATATTGGTAGTTATTTTGCCTTCTTTGTCCCTTAGTGCATACATCCGATTTTTGCCTATCCCAAGTTTCTTCTTCACTGCTTGGACGCTTCCTCTGTTTTTCAGATCGTGTTCAATTCTCTCCATGTTATACCTTCTTACAGCAGATACCTCACGCCTATTAATCAACTTCGAAAGCTCTGCCAGTTCTATTTTGTCTGTTGTACTTGAGACTTTCATGATTTGATGCTTCTTAATGAGATTCTTCGTTTCCTGGGTAAGCTTGCCAGTGTCCTGTTTAACTACCCTGCCACTACAACAACTGTCTAACTACCCTGCCATTACAACCACTTGTAAATAACATCTATACTTCCCTAGGCTCTATTGTCTGTTAGTTCTAATTATTATTGTGTGTAAGAAAAAAATGAGCCCTTAAATTTACACATTCCTTCATTCATAGCGAGGGTCTCGTTCAAGGGTGCCTTGAGGTGGTATGCGAGGGGTTATTGGTCAGCTGCTATCTTGTAATAAGATAACATACATGACAGCAAATAGGCAAAAAGGAGTGTTCCGACACTAGCCGTACTGGCAACAGGGTGGCGCTGACCGACGCTCCCATGTTTAAGTGCACATATATACCCTATAAAGTGGACAAGTGGGGATACTGCCACAAAGCTCAGTGGTAGATCATTGGATGCGTTATTCAAAGGTCACAGTTTCAAATCCTGCCGGTGGTTACTTATCTTTTTATCTACTATTATTTCCTCCCATTTACATTAGTTATTGTTAATGACATCCCCTATACATTCCCTAGCATTATTGTCTGTTAGTTCTCATTGGGATTGTACCATATTACACAAACTGCACACTGAGGAAATAAATGCAAGCACATTGATTGGACCCCATGTAGGTGTATTGCAGATGTTTGACACACTTGCATTGCAGATGTTTGACACATTTCTGTTAACCAGCACCAAGAAATTGAAAAGCTACAAAGATACTACTGATGATAAATAACTTGATGACAGCTGCGTAAATGCTATGTGGCTTCTGCCTTATCGAAAGATCTGCTTACGTGTGCTAAATTCAGAGCCGATACATTTGCAAATTACAATGTGCGTTTTTTTATGCTGGTAAAAAAGTTTTGTATCGGGAAGTTTTTTTTTTTTTTTGTTCCAAAAAACGTTTTCTTTTCATAAAAAACGTTTTCTTTTTATGCCAGCCTTATGGCTGGTTTCAAAAGATGCAGACCACAAACTATTCATGAGCCTCACAGACAGGTAAATATATCTAAGCAAATGCCTGTGAAGACATTAAAGGCCAAGCAACTCGTAAATATAACTTTATTTCACTATAACAGCACTTTGATGCAAACACGAAGCAACATCTGATGGAGTCCATTACTCTTTGGTTCATATTTATTAATGTGCAGTGCCACCAAGGCCCACTACCGAATGAAATGTACTTAAGTACAACATACCACAGCCAAAAAGAAAGGTGCTCTATAAAATAGTGAAATGTAGAGAAGGCATTTGAGGTTAATGGCTAGAATTTGAAGGAGGCTTTACATCATACCAAAATTCACTAAACCCTCAAGTGAAACACTGTTGTAAGTGCGACGCTGATCCAATTGGTAGTATCTGACCTAAAACTATTATAAGCAAACATGTGCATGTGAAAACAAACAAAAACAACGGACTAAAAAAATTCAATAATTATTGAAAGAAAAGACTTAAAAGTAAGTGTTGGGAGAGCAAAAGGGAAAAAAGAAGACCAATCACTTTTCACCCCCTAAAAAGCAAATAAGACTAGGAGAAATGTATAAACCTACCTTAGAAAGCAAAATGGCAGTGTTTCAGCAGATGTAAAACACATATGGTGCCTCAAGAGCATGAATTGATTGCCATTAACACTGCAGTTAACTTGAATTCAAGAAAGCATGGCCGGTCTTGTATCACCCTGACAAGAAAGAGGTCTTCTCAGGCAACACTGTTAAGTTGTGAAGACATTAGAAAATTGGTATAATTCACTTGTCTTTATTACAAACCTGAAATTAATTTAGGAACTAGCTATAAAAAATGGCATACAAAAATTGTTCATAACTGGCACAGCTGGCAGGTCTTGGTTCACATGTCTGTGATAAGCATTTGCTGAAAAAACTAATTTATGGTGGCAGTTGCACAGAGTCAAATTCAGTTCATATTTATCTTGCTGTCACCAAAAACAAGCTAAACATTGAAAACTAGAATTAGAAGTCATCCGAAAGCTAACAATAGTGACAAAAACCCAAAACAAATTAAAAATTGAAAAGTAGAATTAAGAAGTAATTTGAAAGCTAACAATAGTGACAAAATCTATTCAACGTTCTTTCTAATTGTTGCCATGTTCCGAAAAAAAAATATAGAGGGCACCTTCTGACCAATGAGTCCCATATATTCCCATCATGTGCAGATCTAACAACTCATAAAACATGCAGCATTTGAAAGAGAACAGCAACAGAAAATCTTGAGCAGTCCATAGCAGCTGCCTGTACAATGGTGCTTCACTGAACCAAATCCTTGGTATTTGTGGCCAGTTACACAATGCACCAACATATGACTTCACACACACAAGCACACCAGCACACACAGTCAAGGAGAATAAAGTCCTGAAGAGGGTTGTGTATTCGTCAAACCATCATGTTTTGCTTCCACAATTGTCCCAGTCTATAAGGTACTGCACTTTTCCGTCAATCGAAATGCGCTTGGCAAGTACAGTGAAACTGCTCTTTTCACTGCTAGCAGCCTCACTACTACGAAGCATCTCCTTCCACCGCAGTGATCCCCGGCCCTGGGTGCTGCAGTCTACACGTGAGCTGGCAGTGCTGCTTGTGCCGCTAGTGCTGCTTATAATACCAGAGCTGGTTGCACTACCAGCACTGGTTGTACTGGTACTGCTCATAGTGCTACTATAGTCTTCAGAGTCTGTGTCACCAATACCAAAAATCAGTCTCCGTTGGGAACCACGCAACTTGAGCTTAACTGGCTTGAGTGGCACTGGAAGTGTGCGCTTTTTTGGAGGCCTCCCGGGCCTAGGCTTTGGGGGAGGAGGAGGTGGGAAGAGCACCTCATCCCGAAATGGATGGTTGCCACCATGAAAATCTCGCAGTGGTGGTATGAAGGCGTCCAAGAAAGTGCTGCCCTCTCCAGTACCTGAACTCGCAGCTTCCTCGTCACAGTCAAATGGATCATGTGAGATCTGAACACTGTGAACTCGTGCTTTGCTTCTGCCTAGGCCATTAGACAACTTGCTGGAATGGCAGCCATTGTTCTAAAGAAATGGCATCAAAAAGCATTAGTAACAGTCAAAAAATGACAAAAATTCCAACAGTGTCCACCATGAATCTCTAATGATTAGTCCTAAAACTACTTTAAAAAAAACTAAATGTAAAAAACTAGTGTACCTTGTAAAAATAATTTTTGCCATCAAGAACAGTGCGAATTCAAAGACAGTTGCAATACTACAAAAGTACCCAACAGATCTATGCATGACCAATAATCACATTCCCACTGTACTACTGCTAGAACTAGTGAGTATGGTGGCAATCAAGACATATTATGTGGTGTTTTACATGCCCAACAACGCTATGATTATGAGGCAAGCCATTGTAGAAGGCTGTGCAAATTTCAATTATCTGGTGTTCTTTAACGTGCACCAATATCACACAGTACACATGCCTCTAACATTTCACCTCCATCAAAATGCAAAAACTATGATTGGGATTGAAAACGCTATTTTTGGGCCAACAGCCGAGCACTGTAACCACTAAGAAATCATAGCGGATATGAAAATGACCTCTGGAGCAGCTAACTTCACATCCCAGAGTACAGAGGAGAAGCAAGGTGCATTAATATTCAATGACCTGAATAATTATGTTGGGGCTCCCCTTGTGAAGAGCTAGAAATAATTCGATTCCTTGCAAATCTCATGGAGCTAACCATCTTAGGAGCAATTCCTATTTCACTCGCTGATGCGAAAATATGGATACAAACCAACATACCAACGTGTTTTAGCAAAAATAAGGACGCCATGCAGTTGATCATTCCCGAACAACTTGTTCAGCGATTACTTCGGTAGCAAATAAACAGATGCTGATTCAATAAAATAGTTTTTATGAAATAATATTCTAGGATGACTGCCAGTTGGGCGTGTTGGTAAAGGTTCATGATGAAACAAGCACTAAAAATACACTCAGAGAGGACACTGTATTTCTCACTCTTGCATAGTTCGGGCTGCACCTGTGTCCTCTTTGAGTGTGCGTATTTTTAGCGCTTGTAACATTCTAAATACATCTATATGTGGTTATCAGCAGACAAACGCAGTGAGGTACAGTAATGCTTCAATGTTAAAGACTAACACTGTCCAAAATGCATTCCCCTAAGACAACTCCGAGGAAAATGAGAAGTTTTTTTTCTTCACGATCGATTATTCGATTAGTTTCTGGACCTAACATGCTATGACTTGGCTAGCGTCACAAAGCTAACTTATTCGCACACTCCCTCCTCTCCCTCTGAGGCCTCTCTGTACCGGAGCATGAACATTCTCACAGTGCTTCCAGGTTATAGTTTTCCATTGTGCCGGCTTGCAAGGATATGGAGATCGAGCTTCCACGGAAGTGTCATAAAGTGCGTTGAACGGTGGACTACATGCTTAACAAACTTCGTTTTCCTTCTGCAGCGAAGTTGTATATGGCTAGGGCATGCTGTCTGTAGACCGAAAATTAGTGTCCGCTAGAAAGCAGTGAAAACAAAAAAACCTCGCAAGATACCTTATGCAATACCTAAGACGACTCGAAGGCAAACGCCATTCTTTTTATTTGATAGCAATGATATGGACATTTTTTACTGCCTTTTGCCGCTGCTATCACTTTTTGTGCAATGTCGAAATACATAGCATCCCCCACGCATCATATGTTTTAGACGCGGATAAAAACGCACGAATGAGGGCAACCAACGCGGCTGAAGCACACATAAAAGGAGCCGACCTATGTCTTTTGCACGAAGGGCACATGCGACAACATCACCCCGTGTGCCAGGCATGCCATTGCTACTTTAGCAAAGAGGGACACCCCGCTCGTCTGCAAGAAGCATAAAAGAACGCAAAAGTGGGGTTGATGCTAAAGCAGCAATTGTGAACTTTGACTTGAAGGGCGTGGTCACGATCGCTGGTGCTTTCACTGCTTTAGCAGGCACCACCGCAAACAGATTGTGGGAGAAGTGCTATTCTTCATGGAGCGGCCATACCGTGGTATGCACCAAACCTTGAACCCCAAGGCACATCATCGCTATGCCATTTCATAGGTCCGTTCATACGCGCCGTTCGTGCTGTACGTGCATCGGCATGCAAGAGGTGTTCCGGAGGTTTAAGTCGCTGTACGAATCTCGAACACATCGCGTGCAGTAAGTGCATTGCGCGGGAGGCAAGGGGTAGACCTTCAAAATGGCGACCCCCCCGCTAGCGCTCCTCACGGGTGAGGTCAAGGCTTACTTCGTAAAATCATGCAATTTGTTGGCATCTCATGTCTTCATTGCTAAGAGCGTAGGCAAAACTAACAAAAGGTATTGATATATGAAGTCAGGCCAGGAGCTCTTTTCAACCCAACTTAGCGTAATTCAACAGAACACTGGTTAAAGGGAACATGGCCACTTCGGATGCCGAAGTGATTTTCGTGCGGTCAGTTCCCTAAACGAGAAGTAAATGTTGAGAGCAAGGCAAATTTACAAGCAATCTCATGATGTCTCCAGATAGCATGTGCCAGCGACTGCACCCAATGCTAATGCCGGTGATAGATGACCTCAAACCCGAGACATTGGCGCAGTTTAGGGCGATTTCCGTTGATATTATCAGAAAGGCGCAGTAAACAAGATTTGGTGCACTTTCGCACAGCTGGCGCAGGAGTGGAATCACCTTATAACGCAATTTCTGACACAGATGGAAAGCTACACACAGTTCCTTTCTTTTTCGGCTTGAGGAAAAGAATAGCTCTGAGAATTTGCTACAACACAGTGAACATGCACACAACCTTCTTTTTACAACTGCACATTACAATCAAACCAGAATATGTGTTATCAAAGCAACTCAGGCCTTAGTTAAATTAGTCTGTTAACCCTGTGATCTACAAGAATCTTATGCTGTTCCAAACAGTAATTTATTGCAACCAAAACACATATTAATGCAAATGTGAAAACACAATTCAGCGCAAATATTTCAGATGCCCTGTTAGGGCAATACAAAACCACTATAGTTCTAAGTTTAAAGAAAAATAAGCTTCATTGTAATCTGATGCTCGTAACACATGTAATACCTATTCATGTCATCTGAAAATTGAATTATCAAGCTTCAAAATATTTTTGTAGCTGCAATTAGATAAGCTGAGAGCATGTCACCCATAGAAGTGAGATTGTCCAGTGTCCTTTCACTGCTCTCAGCATTAGTTAAGAGTAGCACTATTCGCATGAAAAATTCACTGCTATGGCCAACATGAGGCGGTAGAACTGGTATTTCACTTGGCTGAGCACAGAGTCTTGCTGGCCCCATCTTGGAGGTATAACGTTTGGCAGGTGAACAAGCTGGACATGCTAAGATGGCTTATGGTTCCATACGCGAATCGCTGCATGCCTAGTGCTGAAGGTCTCGTAACCTCAATTTTTGGAAACATGAAGTGACAAGCTGCACAAAATTTTAGCTTAGTTCTACCAGCACTCTGTCCACACCAGCATTGCAATGAGTGTTTGTCCCAATCGAGTGAGGTTTGCAAGTGTATTTATGCATGTACGACATCGTACTGTTAACTTATTAAGCAAATATTTAGTGCCATCTATATTCCCAATTTGACTGTGTAGTATGTGTAGTTCTCTTTCAATGTCTTTATAACTGTGTCTTGCAGGCAAAACTACAACTGCCAAGCACATCTACCAGAAGGCAGATGCACTTTTTATGAAAGTACAATACTGTAAAATGCCGAGCAAGTGCCACCCTTCCACAACGGTGAAGGATAATCCAACCAAATTTGGCAGAAGGGCACTTCTCCAAACCAGTCGTTGGCACTTATTTGGGCCTCATTTCAGATTTCACACAAAAGAGAGGAGGACACTTGCTTAGAATTTTACAGTAATCAAACATGTCTGGAAGTTACAGAGATATCTGGGTGACTCCATGTAAGTTCGAACAAACCATGGCTGGTCGACCTCTTAAATTTCTGTAAAAATTTTATATATTGTTGCCTGATAAGTGGAAAGAAGAAATCCGCAATTGGTTTTAGTGTAAAAATTTTTTTCGGGGCACAATAAATCAATAATGATGGAAAGGTGGAGAGGCGGAGTGCCACGCTTACCTGCTCTGCTGCTGTTTTTGAATTTGCCGATGAATTACACAAAATATATTAAAGCTACGTGCCTCAAATTTATTAGACTACATGTAGGCGTACTGGCGCTTACACTTGTTGGTATTGCATTGATATGTGGGGTTTAACGTCCCAAAACCACCATATGATTATGAGAGATGCCGTAGTGGAGGGCTCCGGGAATTTCGACTTCCTGGGGTTCTTTAACGTGCACCCAAATCTGAGCACACGGGCCTACAACATTTCCGCCTCCATCGGAAATGCAGCCGCCGCAGCCGGGATTCGATCCCGCGACCTGCGGGTCAGCAGCCGAGTACCTTAGCCACTAGACCACCGCGGCGGGGCTTTGGTATTGCATGTCTTCATTGTTAAGAGCGTAGGCGAAACTAACAAATGGTATTGTTATACAAAGTCTGTTATACGATTGTCTGCGTAGTGTACATTTTTTATTAAAAATTCTCAAATTTGACCTAAAAACATTTTTCTGCCTAGTTTGCAGGCTTTCATTTCACAAAGCGCCTATGGCAGAGCGGTTGAAATTATGCATCGTTTTCTCAACATGCTTATTTAAAAAACTACCAAAGCCTATATTAATAGCATTTTTCAATAAAAAGATATAATCGTGCTAACTTCAAGAAAAGAGCATTCAAGAGAAACTTCTGACAATTAAAAAAAAAGCATTTTTGATCATTTTTATACTTTCTCTACTTATTCTACTGCACATTAGCTTTCACAATCATTAAAAACATATTGCATTATATGGTTTCGCTTGTAGTTATGACCCGTCGAAAAATTCCCTTGCGCAAAAATAGGCAACATTAGATCAGACTTGAAATGATTTGGTCATGGGAGCGGCCATGAGTTATGGATTACCGAGCAAGCATGCACGCACAGTCCATGCTCCAGTGTGAGGAGGGCTCGTCGAATA